TATAAACGCTAAAAAACGAAGTACATGCTAATTACAAAAAGACCACACAAAATACATCACCAATTGACAATCAATGGTAACGTGTTAGAACAAGTAGAAAAATATCAGTACTTGGGAACTTTAATCAATGAAACCAATAATCATACTGTAGAAATAAACAGGCGAGTAGAGAATGCCAGATCAGCATTTATACGAATGAAGCCACTTATAACGTGCAAAAATCTAAATGTGGAAATCAGATTACGTACCATTCACTGTTATATATTTTTAATATTATTATATGGAGCTGAGACTTGGACATTAAAAAAATGCAATTTAAAAAAAGCTGTCTCCAGCTTCTTTATACAATGTAGTTTCGCCTATTTTCACAAAAATTTAAAGTGTTTGTTTGTCCTTGTGTACTGTATTGTAATGTTCCATTTTATATCTATGACATTTTACTCTTGTTGGATAGGCCGCAATTGACGAAATGCCCCTGAAGATGATCTAGGGATCGAAAGTATTTGGGCAAGATTAAATTAATACTGTGCTCGATAGTTGCCTTTTATATTATCAAAGTATTAAAGTTAATTTAAAAAGAATCGAGGCTTTCGAACTCTGGTTATACCGCAGAGTATTAAAAATATCACGGACTGATAGAATTACAAATAAAGAAGTACTGGAGAGAGTTGATAAAGAAACAGAACTAATCACCACTACACAAAACAGAAAACTGAAATACCTAGGCCACGTGATGAGGGATCCAAAATATGAAATTTTGTGACTCATAATACAGGGTAAGATTCAAGGAAGAAGATCTCTTGGCCGAAGGTAGAACTCATGGTTAAAGAATCTACGTGATTGGTGTCAATGCAGATCGATTGACCCCAAGATGGACATAAATTTCAAAAAAGGTCGATTTTATTTTTAAATTACGATTTTTAATTCAATCATGTGGTTACCGAAATTCGCTAAAATATACTCAAAACTTATTTTCCGTTTAGGTCTTGATAATGAGAAAGTGAACAAAAACCATAGCAATGTGGTTTTTAGGTGGTAACCATTAAAAAATTTTAAAGAATTTCCGTGGCAACGTTATTTTAACACGCATTAGTAAATTGTTTTATTTAAGTTGTCAGTATTTTAATTTTATTAAAAAGTTCGTTCAATTTAATTCTGAAGAATGGTTAAATTAACGGAATTGCATAAAATAACAGTTTTACAAACGATTATTTACGGAGATAACACCCGAACACAACAGGAAGTAACTCGCCTATTTCATGAGAAATTTTCTAATTTACCGTCTATATCCCAAGGAACAATAAGTAAAATAGAGAAGCAGTTTTGCGAGTTTGGTCATGTAAGGCAGATAAAAAAGCAGCTGCCAATGCACTGAGTGATGAACTCAAATTAGATGTGTTGCTTGAGTTTCAGGAAAATCCACATACATCGAGTAGACAGGCATCCACTACATTCAATGCTAGCCATACATTGATAGTAAACATATTAAAAGAAAATAAATTGCACCCCTATAAGATGATGCCTACTCAGGAGCTCATGGAAGACGATTTTGATAGGAGAACTTTTTTTGTGAGCAAATGATGGACATGTTGGATAACAATATTATCCAATTAGAAGACGTTATGTTTTCTGATGAGTGTACTTTTTCACTTAACGGTCATGCTAATCGGCAAAATTGCCGCTACTGAGTCACAAAAAATCCTCACTAGATGAGAGAAGAACACACTTAGTATCCTCAAAACGTTAATGTTTGGACAGGGATTGTAGGAAACAATATCATTGGTCCCTTTTTCATTGAGTGCAACTTGAATGGCAACAATTATTTGGCACTACTTCAAAATGATATCATTCCAACGTTGGCAAATTTATATTCTGATCCAGGAAACCCTTAAGCTCCAGCGAAAACGATATGGTTTCAGCAGGATGGAGCACCACCACATTACCAACTTAATTTCCGGCAGTACCTCGATACAATATTTCCCAATCGGTAGATAGGGAGGCGAGGATCGATTGAATGGCCAGCGCGATCACCTGATCTTACATTATTAGATTTCTTTTTATGGGTATATGTGAAGAGCCATGTGTACATAAATAAACCTTCTGATTTAAATGACTTAAAAGAACTAATTACGCTTGCGATTAGGTCGATCACGCCTGTTATGTTAAATAATATTAGAAGACAGTTTTATTTGAGATTAGGATGTCGCCAAGACGTTCGTGGTGAACATTTTGAACATCTACTTCATTAACATTCATAGTTCTTTTTCGTGTTCTACATTTTATTACGTTTTGAATTACATTTTAGTTTTTGATTGTATTGTAGCGAGTTTCGGTAACCACATGATTTTAATTTATTTTATCTTAATTAATCTTAATAAACTTGAAAGCGACAACATTTTTGAATGGAAAATGAAAAGACCTTTCAAACGATATATCACAAGCCTATACTTCCTATTTTAAAAATTTGGGGTTGTACCTGTCATTCCAAGGACTACAAAAAGTTAGCAAGAAACATGGACTACGAAATAACAAAAAAAAGCAAAAGAAATGATTGTCGAAATATTAAATCAAACAAAAACTAACAACAGAACAAAAATTCAGGCATTTTTATTTATTTAAGCAGTAGCGTCAATAACAACGGGAGCTATGAACAGGAATTTCTACGAATATAGAGATGCGTAGAACCGCTTTATGTCGGAAAATTGATGGAACAACGTCGACTGATAAAATCTAATGTAACAGAATATAGACACCTGCAGAGAAGAATAAAAAAGGAGATCAAATTAGCCAAAGAAAATGGATGAGAGAAAGGTGCGACGAAATGGAGGATGTAATTTACTTATTTTTATGTGACTACTAAATAAGAAAAAAATGGCAGCTGTATATATCAGAGTTGTTTAAAGATGACAGGAATAATATTGCCAAATTCTAGGCATCACGAGAATGATAACATAAAAGCAGTAGTAAGACTTTTTAATTCATAAGCCATACTCTTAAAATTTTCCTCAGGAAGGCATTTTTTGCGCTTTGTATCCTATTAAAAAAATGCCGTGACCAAAAAAAAATATGTATTTGCGTGTTTCGTGGACTTTAAAAAGGCATTCGTAAACTACAGCATGTAAAATTAATGCATATCCTGAAAAATATCGGAATAGATGACAAAGATATTCGTGTCATTAAAAATTTGTACTGGAATCAAACTGCTACCGTAAAAATTAAAGATAACTACACCGATGAAATTCTCATACCACGAGAAATCAGATAAGGTTGCATTTTGTCGCCAACATTGTTTAATGTTTACTCGGACGAGTTATTTAAAAAGGCACTTGAGAGACAACCATATGGAATAAAAATCAACTGGGAACTACTTAATGTGATTAGATATGCAGACGATACAGTAATTCTATCAGATAATATTGAAGTTCTTGTGTCGTGACCCACATCCCGACGCAAAGCTTCAATTGAACGGAGTCCAAGTTGAGAAAGTTCACAAAATGACATATTTAGGAAATGTGATAACAGACCAACTAGATTCAGACATAGAATAAAACGTAGAATAGCAATGACTAAAACTACTTTTATAAATATGAAGTCATTTCTTTGCAATAACCATCTTAGTTTAAAACGAAGGCAAAGAATGGTTAAGTGCTAGGTTTGGTATGTATTTTTGTATAGTGCAGAAGTGTGGACGCTAAAGGTATCGATCATGAACAAAATTGAAACATTGGAAATGTGGGTTTATATACGAATGCTAAAGATACTTTGAACAGCACGAAAAACTAATGAAGAAGTAGTAAGGAGCGTCAACAAAGATAAAGGACCTTGCCAGTTCTTTATCGGAAGGATAAAGGCAAAATAAAGGGCCGTAGAGGTGTAGGAAGAAAACAAGTTTCTTGGTTAAAAAACATTCGTGAATGGACTCCAAATGCAGGACAATTATTCCATATTGCAGAAGATCGAGAAGCCTCCGCAATGGTAATCGCCAACGTCGGATAATTCTGATATGACACAAGAAGAAGAAGAAGAAGACTTTTCTACCTCACTAAAATATGGAAAAACCAACATATAACAAAATACACTAATATCAACCTTGTACGAAAATGTTTCTGAAATATGGATTATCTGAACTTGCCTTTGATAAGAATACTTCGAATTCTTTGGATAGCCAGAAGAACACATACATCTCATCTTGCGTAGATTAACAATCCACAATATCTCTCCAGTTTAATATATGCAAAAGTATTAACATTATTTCGACATATAACACGTACCGACAATATGTAGACTAGTAGTCTAGAAGGAAAAAGAAGCCGAGATGCATATGTTAAGACGTATAGAATGAAAGGATTTATTATGTAAATATTATGTAGTAGTCGTAGTTTTCTTTCGTTTCTTGCACCTTTACTACTTTGATATCCCATTGATATTTCTTCTTCGTTTTTAGTTTGGAGCACCGTCCTAGATTTCAGACATATAGAGAGGAAAAGACATCCGACACGGTGGACGAACAATGTAAACAGAGTGATAATGTATTACATTTACATTGGAAGCGCTGGAAATAGCTGAGGCGTATGTTCAGAAGTAGACACCACAGGCTGTATAATAAAGATGACATATGGTATCAATAGATACTCTATTTTGATCCAGAATTCATCTAACTTGAATCCAAATAAATTAAGTATATTATCATATATATTGAATAATTTTTTTGGATTTTTTCGGCTTTTTCATATTGTTTTCAAGTGCATTATAACGTCAATAATGAAAAATATTTAAATATAAACTATAAATATCTTATCTATTTTGAAAATTATAAAGGAGTTAGAGTAAAAGGTTAGAATAAAGCAGAAATAAACACAACAATTAGTGATTATTTGCGAAAGTTCAGAGTTTATTTAGGTGTAAGCATATAATACATAATAGTTTAGAGTTTTTAGATGTAAGCATATAATACAAGCGGAAACATACAGATATATAGATAGGAAAACTTATTTGTTTCTTTATTTTTTCTTGGGTTTCAATGGTGGGTCCAACTCACACATCCTTCTGAGGAAAGCTAAAACAAAAAGACTAATGTAATAAATGAAAAAAAAAACAATATAAACTACACGCTATATTAAAGTATTTAAATAAATTATAGATATACAAACTTTAATTAGAATAGATGCCTTTGGAATGTATATATACAGACGAATATTGAGAATTCCATGGGTACAAAGAGTTACTAATGTTGAGCTACTTCGTCGAATGTGTAAACAAAAAGAATTACTAAGAATAATCAAAGAGAGGAAAATGTGTCATGTGTCAAAAATTGGGTCATGTGTTGAGAGGCGAAAAATATAAATTACTTCAAGTTATACTGTAAGGATAAGTACAGGGCAAAAGATCAGTAGGAAGACGCCAGAACTCATGGCTGAAAGACCTAAGGAGATGGTTCGACCGCTCATCCGCAGAAATCTTTTGCGCAGCAGTTGCCACAATTGCCATTTGGATCGTCAACCTTCGAAAGAAGACGGCGCCATGAGAAGAAGAAGAATTAGAATAACTTATTTTGTTATTACGTAAAAAAAGTAATTTCATAAAAACATGGAACACAATATATGCAGAAGAATTGTACATGCTTTTCTATAGACGGATAACTACTGTCTGACGAAGGTATCAATTTCATACCAATTTCAACTTTTTTAGTTTGTTATTATTACATAAGCAATGGTACTTAAATAGTCTTTCTTAAGAGGTCTCATTACAACTAGTGACAATGTCGAAAGGTATCAATTTGAAACTTCCTTCCAACTGCACGTGCTTTGCACAACTTATTTGTTAGCAATTGAGGATTTGAATCACCTATGAGTGTATATATTTTCTATAAGAGTGACTAAGATTAACCTGTATAGATTCCTGTAAAAATCCCTACCAATATTTTGGAAGCAAGGGTTTCTGAATTTATCACATATTTAGATTCTAAACCTGACAAGTCTGTACAAAGCAGAATATCGACAGATTATATGGATCTATAATAGATTAGGTCCCAATATCAGCAAGAGTGATGCTCATACAATTGAAACCAAGACCAATCAACATCAATATAATTCAAGTGTATGCACCTACAACAGAAGGATCCGAAGAAGAGGTAGAAGAACTATACCATAGCATTAATCAAATTGTGAAAAGGTTGAAAAAGTAAGACCTAACAATTGTCATGGGCGACTTCAATGCCAAAGTTGGGGCCAGCAAAACATCATCTGCAGTTGGACCATTTGAACTAGGAGACCGGAACGATTGGGGAGATACATTGGAGATTTCCAATCAATAGTAATAATCAACACCAGGTTTAAGCTACACCCAAGGAAACTGTACACCTGAAAATCTCCACAGGATTCTGTGGGAAGAATTGTAAGAACTCAGATTGATTACATGCTGGTAAATAAGAAGTATAGGAATAGCTGTACATCTGTCAAAACATACCAGGGGCAGACATAGATTCTGATTATATACCAGTTGTAGGTAATTTCAAAGTCAATATAAAGAAGGTTACTACAATGAAGAAGTATGATGTTGGAAAACTGAAAGATCAGAATGTTCCACTGAAGGTGAGTGAAAACCTCAATACAAAGGAGCTAAAATGCAGGAAAGCAGGAACTATAAAGGAAAATCTGACCATCATGCAGGAAACAGTGAGAGAAATAAGAGAACAATACCTTAAGAAAGATACAGAGAAACGGAATATAAGCGAATACATACCATTGTCAGGAGAAAGATAAGAGAAGCCAAAGAGAAACAAAAAATAGAGGAATGTCAGAGTCGATATGCTAACTTCAATATTCATCGAAAGGTAAAGGAAATAACTGGAAAGTTCCGAAAACCCACCAGCGAAAAAATAACAGATGATGAAGACAATCTTGCCATAACCAAAGAAGAAAATTCAGGTCTCGAATCCCTACCAGAAGAAATAACGGCAGCCATCAGACAAATGAAGGATAAAAAGGCACCAGAACTTGATTCTCTTCTATTTTATTATATTCTATTCTATTTATTGATGTATATCCATTATTCTCCTCAATCAACTGAAGAAATAAAATATGACCTGGCAACCTTTCTGGTGCCGATTTAGGCTTTAGTCAATTCCGTACGATTAGGCGTCCCCTCTCTTTTCATGTCTAAGATATATATACATATACATATCTATTGATGTCATCTTATGTGACAGTGCGTATTTAGAGTAGAAATAAAATGCTTTACGACTAAATAATGTTATAAATAAAACTAATATTATGAAACTTACGTATATAAGGAATTTCACCATCGTCATTCTCTTCATCCAAACACTGTTCAAAAACTTCATCTACTTCAGCGTCAGTTAATTTTTCTCCTAAAAAATTAATAGTTTTATTATATATTATTATTATCTAACCTTACATAACCTAACCTAAAAATATAGGTATGGTTAAATTATAAACATATATACTACAAGATAGACTGATAGTTGCAACATCAACCAGTTCTCCCAGTGCAACAGAGAAAACTGTCTCAAAGCAGTATCTGCCTCTCTTTCTAATTTGCTAGGTTTATCGACCACGTGACCTAAATGACTAATGAGGAGGTCACCTGGTCAATAAACTTGGTTCGTTACAAAAAGAGGCAGGGACTGTTTTGTGTCAGTTTTCTCTGTCGCACTGGGGAAACGGACTGGTATTGCAGCAGTCAGTATATCTTGTATGATATGTCTATGATTAAATCCAGTTAAATCATTGTACTTGTATAGTTTTTCTATGCATTTTGAGTTACCAATAATGTTAATATATTCGTTTTTCTTTAATAAATGTTTTTTTTTTCATGATCAAATGTGCTTTACTGGTTTAGGTCGAGATTTAGGTACTCAAAGCATAGAAATATAGCCATAAGTGGTATTTTACGTGTCGCTACCAATAACATACAATTAAAGTACCGGTCTATAATTAAATGCGTGTATGCTTGCCGGAGCAAATTTTGTTCCACCCATGTTGATTCTCCTGGATCAATATTAGCACCGAGCAAGTTGGTGAATGTAATTTATTTATTCACTTAGTTATATTTAAATTAAAAAATTAAAAATAGAAAATTTAAAAAATAATGAAAAAATTTAAAATCACCAGGAGAGGACAAAATACTGAACGAACTCCTAAAGTATGAACGACTAGATCTGATCAAACAACTATTAAAACTAATCTAAAAAATAATAGAACAAAACAAAATTTCTCAAGAATGGAGATCAAGCATCCTAATACCTCTCTTTAAAAAGAGAAACAAATCGGACCCGGAAAATTACAGAGGAATTAATTTATTAAACACAACACTAAAATTAACAACCAAAGTGCTAACAAATAAATTGAATGAAATTATAACACAACTTCGGGTAGCGGGTAGGAACTCTTTAAACTCTTGAAGATAGTCCTATCAGGGAAAATGAATTAATCCCTGCCCTCCGCAGATTCCGGGGGTTTCCTGACCCGGGAAACTAGTACCTGTTTAGGGTCCCTTGTCCAGGGTTACGGATGAAGTCCACAACGGCAAACACGGCGGAGAAGCGGAGCTTCGGTACGGTGTGGATGGCGGAAGTGGCAACCCTCGATTTTAGGGTTGATATAGAACTCCTTTTATTGGCCAACGGTTGCGGGCGGACGAGCTAGTAAGAGACAAGGGCACTCTTTTGCCCTGAGACTGAGAAATCGATCTTGAAGGCGGACGAGCCGAGAAAACGGCCAACGGCGTAAGAATGCAGAAGGCAACGGGAAACCACTGCATTAAAGACTCTTGGAGTATCACTAGAAATCGTCATGGCTAATAAAAATGACAATCAACAACCTATTAATCATGGTTCTCGGATGCCAAGATTCGGCAGGGGAAGAAACAACAGTAACGACAGGGCTTCCCAGGCCGTTAGTCAGCAAAATCCCTGTTCACTAAATATATACAAATCCACTTACAAAATAGCTACATGGAATGTAAGAAGTATGTATGAACCTGGGAAACTAAGAAATATACAGCAAGAGATGATGCGACTAGAGATCGATATATTAGGAATAAGCGATACAAGATGGGTCGGCTCTGGCGAAATCAATACAGACAATGGACGAATTTATTACTCTGGAAGCAGCGACACCCAACACAGATATGGAGTTGCTATGATCCTCACTGAAAAACTAACGAGATCAGTAACAGGCTTCGTTCCGATATCTGAAAGAATTATAATGGTGCAATTATTGACAACCCATGGAAAAATGAATTTAATTCAGATTTATGCACCAGCTGCTGACAAAAATGAAGAAGAAATAGAAAACTTTTATAGCGAACTTCAAAAAACATTACATCTCACAGCATCTAGAGACGTAACAGTGATCATGGGTGATTTCAACGCAAAAATTGGCGAGGGAAAATGCTACCCTAATGTAGGACCATATGGGCTTGGTGAACGAAACGACAGAGGGGATCGCCTAATAGAATTTTGCCAGGAGCACAATGTTATAGCCGCAAATACATTCTTTAAATTACCTAAGCGACGCCTTTATACATGGAAATCGCCAGCTGACAAAGACAACAAAATCGTCAGAAATCAAATTGATTACTTCCTAATAAAACACAGATATCGAAACTCAATCCAGGCCGTAAAGGCATATCCAGGAGCGGACGTATCTTCTGATCATAGTCTTCTTATTGCTAGATTTCAACTTCAACTAAAAAAGACACAAAAAAGCCGCAATAATAATAAACTTAACATACAGAAACTAAAGTCAGAAGAAACAAAAGAAAATCTGAAACACTAAATCAACACAAATCTAGACAGAAACCCAGGAAATAACTGCAACGTAGAGCAGCAGTGGCAGTTCTTCAAAACCTCTATATTGGAACCAAGTAAGAAACTACTTACAACAACTAAATATAAGAAAGAAGAATGGATGACAGAGGAAATTCTAGAGTTCATGAATGAAAGGAGAAAAAACAAAACCATCAATAAGACGAGCTATAAACAGCTTCAATACCAAATAAGAAGAAAAATTAGGGAGGCTAAAGAGACCTACTTCTGTGAAAAATGTAAAGAAATAGAAGAACTTCAAAACAGATATGACAACTTCAACCTACATAAAAAAGTCAAAGAACTAGCCGGAGTAGGAAATAGAAGAACCTCAAATATATTGCTCGACAAAAATGGAAATATTATATTGGAAACAGAACAAAAACTACGACGATGGAAAGAGTACATCGAAGAATTATTTCATGACCAGAGAGAAGCTAGTACATCTGTAGATAGCCAAACGGGAGATGTAGGTCCAGAGATAAAAAAATCAGAGGTTAGTCAGGCATTAAACTCAATGAAAACCAATAAATCTGCTGGTCCAGATGAATTACCAAGCGAGCTACTAAAGTTGGTCAACGAGAAAAACCTGGACATAATAGTAGAACTGTTCAACGCTATCTATACTACGGGAATCATTCCTAGAGAAATGTTGACATCAGCATTTGTCTGTTTGCCAAAGAAAGTGAATGTCAAAGAGTGTAGTGACTATCGAACCATAAGCTTAATGTCACATACCTTGAAAATTCTCTTGAAAATTATCCACGACAGAATACACTCTAAACTGGAGCTGGATATTAGTGACACTCAATATGGGTTCCGCAATGGTATGGGTACCAGAGAGGCATTATTCTCCTTCAATGTGCTGACACAGAGATGTTTGGATGTTAACCGTCCTCTTTACGTCTGTTTTATAGATTACAATAAAGCGTTTAATAAAGTAAAACATGATCGACTCCTGGAAATTCTAAAAAATAAAAACCTAGATGAAAGAGATTTAAGGCTTATAACACACCTATATTACAATCAGCGAGCAATAGTAAGAATCGAAAAAGAAACATCTGAAGAAATGGAAATAAAGAGAGGAGTCAGGCAAGGCTGCATTCTATCACCTCTATTATTTAACGCCTATTCTGAAGAGGTAATCCGAGAAACTATGGAAGATGAAACAGTCGGCATAAGAGTAAATGGAGTCTTAATTAACAACATCAGATATGCAGATGATACAGTAATAATAGCCGATAGTTTACAAGACCTGGAAAGACTCAAGAGCAAAATAGTCATGTGTAGTAGGGAGTACGGACTCTCTCTTAATGTCAAAAAGACGAAGTTTATGAAAATCTGTAAAAACAACTATAATACTAACGAAATCTTGATAGTAGAGGGCCAGCAGATCGAAAGAGTAAAAAAGTACACTTACCTAGGAACACTTATAACAGAAAATAATGACTACACGGCAGAAATCAAAGTCAGAATCGAAAAAGCACGTTCTAATTTTATAAAAATGAAAAAGGTCCTATGTGGCAAAGATCTAACATTAGCTCTTAAAGTACGCCTAACAAAATGTTATGTATACAGTGTACTATATTATGGAGTGGAATCATGGACGTTAAATCTAGATACCATGAGACGACTTAACGCCTTTGAAATGTGGACCTATAGAAGAATTATGAGGGTTTCCTGGGTAGATAGAGTTACAAACAATGAAATACTGAGAAGAATAGGCAAAGAGAAGGAAATTGAACTTACAATTAAAGAAAGAAAGCTACAGTATCTCGGACATGTGATGCGGAGCGATAAGTATGCCATCCTGCGACTCATAATGCAAGGAAAAATAGATGGCAGAAGAAGCATTGGAAGAAGACGAATTTCATGGCTGAAGAACCTGAGAGAATGGTTTGGATGCAGCTCAAAACAACTATTTAGAGCTACTGCCTCAAAAATTAAGATAGCTATGATGATTGCCAACCTCCGTAGCGGAGATGGCACCTGAAGAAGAAGAAGAATAACACAACTTACTTTATGCAAGAGAGATACCTCTAGGAATAATCTAGGAATATTAACCTAATACCCTATTGAAGCTTGCAATGGGATAAGACAGGGAGATCGTCTATTGTTCAACCTGATTATGGATGAAATAATAAAAAAAGTAATAACTAAAAAAGGATACCAAATGGGAGAAAAACAACTTAAAATAATCTGCTATGCAGACGACGCAATACTACTCTCTCAAAGTGAAGATGATTTACAACGTATGCTGCACCAATTTAATATTAACGCCAGAAAATGTAACAGTTTATTTCCCTAACAAAGACAAAATGCATGGTTAAAACAGCATATTTACTAAGATGTAAATTGGAGCTGGAAGGTCAAATAATAGAACAAGTAATAGAGTTTAAATATCTAGGCACCACATTATCTAGCTACGGAAAGCTCAAAACCTAAGTGGAAGATCAAGTAAATAGAGCAATCAGAGCCGCAGGCTGCCTAAATGAAACAATAAGGAGAAATAAAAATATCGGAAAAGAAACAAAAGGCAGAATTTACAAAACAGTCATCAGACCAATAACGACATACGCGGTAGAACGGAGACCCGACACAGAGAGGACAAAAAGGATGTTAGAAACAGCAGAGATGAAAACACTTGGAAAAATTGATGGTAAGACATTATGGGACAGAGCTAGAAGTACAGATATACGACATAGATGCAAGGTGGAAAACATCAAAAACTGGGTAAGAAATAGAAGAGTAGAATGGAACAATCATATAAGCCAAATGACAACAAATAAAGAAGTAAATACGACAAGAGACGGTTCCCCAATAGGAAGACGATCAGTAGGAAGACCACGAAAACGATGGAATGACAACTTACTGGAGGTACATTGAAAAACAGATAGTCATGTCTATATAAAAAGAAGAAGAAGAAGAACAAAATATCTATGTAAATCGTGATAAAGGTGTGGATAATGAAAATGGTTTTGGTAAAGAGTTGGGTGTTATAGACATTAAATATTCACATATTGACATTTCCAGGCTTAATATTAAACGCAGAAGATAGCAGATGGATCCTATATTAGAACCTGTTTATAGTGGACTTAAACCCATAAAACATCAAAAAAGGAAAATTTGCTTTTCCTGCTGTAATATCTTGATCCAGTGTACTATACATTTTACGACGAACTCAAGACTGATGAGAATGAAAATGATAGAATTTAATGTTTTATTTTTAAATGATAAACAATGTTTTTTTTATGTAGATTGATAACGGGGATTAAAAACAATTTTGCTTATTTTTATTACTCATTTCAAAGAGATTTATACTGCACCTTAAATTTAGATATTTCAGAAATTGGTAAATTTTAATTTATTTATAAATTTATTTAAACTAACCATCGTTATTAAATAACAAAGTTTTAATTTCAATATAAATTTCTTTATATTTTGTAATTATGATATTTACGTATTTTATATACTTCACTTTGACAAGATATGTCTAAATATGGCATATAAGATGTTTGCCAAAACATATGTTAGTAAAATATACCGAGCAAAGATTCAAAAGAGGGAATCTAATCGTTATGAAAGGGAGAACAAAATTCATAAAAGTGGCTTCACTCTTAATATGGCGGACATATCCGGAAATGCAAAGGCGCCAAATTTAATTTTTTTAACATTTATTAACAGTAGCTATAAAATATTTTTCAGAATGTGACTTAGACGAGAAAGTTTTAATTAAATATTAACGATAATAGTCTAAAATGTGACACAATTGATAAAAAACTACAATATAAATAAGTTTTCATGTGACAGTTAGGACAAACAATAACATAACCCAACTAAATTTAATTTCTTAAACAAGGAAAGAGATTATCTTTCCTTGTTTAACGTGGCCTCTCAAAATAACACTTCCCGCCTAACAATCTTTTTGCCCCCACTACCTTTACATTCCCCCTTCTGTCTTTTTCCTCGATGGTAAAATCCCTTTTCACAATAGAATTTTCGAAATTAATGTACATTATTAGTTTAAGCATCATTTTGTTTATGTTATATATAAAATTTTACAAAAATCTAAGAAAATTTGTGCGAGTAAAAAATAAAAACAAATTGCCATAAGTTATACATTTTTAATTTCGCTCTATTAAAAACTTGTTCCATTTGACATATATTAAGTTTTGGCAAATAGCCACAGATTTATATTTATTCGACTATACTTCATCTAATTAACATACCGATGCACGTCATTATCTACGTCAGACATCGAAGTTGACATAGTTGCCAAAGTATAAAAAAATCCTGACTCCATTTTAAATAAAATAGATCACATAATTATTGCAAAAGTATTACCATCTCTTTACAACGACTATTTAAATTCTCACGTGACATTTTTGAAATAAAACACACTAATTTTGTTCTAAAAAGAACAGATTTTATTAAATAGGTAAAAATATAAATCAAGGGGTATTCACTTTAAAATTCAAAATATTAAAGTACAAAAAGTGTCAGCAACGCAACTGTCAAATAAGTGTTACCAATTTATGCCAAAATTTCACTTTCGTTCGATTACAGTTACAGTGTGTTCCGAACAAATGTTTTTCATAAAAACGCTTTATAATGCATTTATACAAATTAAATGAAACATATTATTTTGCATTTCTTTAAGATAATAGAAATTTTTAAATATTATTTCTACGCAAATATAATAAAATATGTCTAGTGGATGTTATGCCAGTGTACTCGGCAAAGTGATTCTAAAAAAGAGCACACCTATCGCCTAAATATTTCGTGTTGGTATCATGTGACGTCACGGGCTATCACGCCGATGACGTGCATCGGTATGTAAATTAGATGAAGTGTACTCAATTTTACATCTCGCTATTACTGTAAAAACAAAAAATGTTACTTCTTGTTTTTATTGAAAAACAGATTATAAAACTTTTTGAATGTTAATACAAAAATAAATTTGAACTATCAGCTGTCACTTTGTCTTTATTTTTCGATGAACAACATTTACATTTGGATGAACTTAATAACAACGTGTATAAATAAAGATATATGACAGTTTAAAACTTACCTAAGGTTAATAGGGAATGACTTAATTCACCAACTAACATAAAACCGTTCTCGTTTTTGTCATATAATTTTAAACATTCAATAAAATCTTCATAACACCCAAAATCTTTTATTTGCTTTTTCAGTTCTGCGTAAATGTTTAAACATTCGTCTAGATTTAATTTCTTCTCTCCTAAAACAAGTATGATAAGTGTTAGGATTACAAAAAGTACTTATATAACAACTTATTTTAAAATGTAGAACACAGATCCTGGGGGTGAACAGTGAATTAAAAAAAATTGAAAACCTTTATTAGTTATAGAGAAAAATAAAGTGGATATCATGGGATGCCGTATGGGTCCCGGCACACACAGGCGTGAAAGGAGATGAACTGGATGACGCCCTGGCACGCCTCTGCCGGTGGAACCCGAATCTGTGATTGGAGTGCCCTTCAGTACTGGTCGGGGTACTCCGAGAGCTTCTTCTGCAGAAGTTCCAGGATTTCTGGGTCCGTTGTAGAGGTTTAAGACAGGCTAGGCTTCACATAGTGGGGTCATCCAAAAGTATTACGTCCCAACTTCTTCTAAACCGTAGAAGGTGCTCTCTGGTGGTCAGTATGCTTACCGGCTACTGTAGACTCAGGCAGCATCTCAATCTGCTTGGATTGGCGGATAGCCTATGGTGTCGTCTTTGTAATGAGGAGGAAGAAATCTTCCCACATCTTCTCTCGAAGAACCCGGCACTGGCCTAGCAGAGGTGGCAGATCCTGAGTTCGATCTTTATGCAACCAAGCCAGATGAGGGAGTTACCCTTAAAGAGACGTGTGGTTTTCTGTTAGACCACAAGGATACTAAAGGATTAGACGTTCAGAATAGCAGAAAGGGCTTAGACTTGGAGCTCCTGTTGATTAATACAGATATGGAAGCCCGGACTAATCTGAACCTTGGAAACGCCAAATAATAGGTCCTTGTATTACCTTATTCTTCTTCTTCGAGTGCCATATCAGAATTATCCGACGTTGGCGATCACCATTGCGAGGGCTTCTCGATCTTCTGCAATATGAAATAATTGTCCTGCATTTGGTATCTGAGTCAACTCACGAATGTTTTTTAACCAAAGAACTTGTTTTCTTCCTACACCTCTACGGCCTTTTATTTTGCTTTTAAGGGTCAGTTGTAACATTTTATACGATTTTTCGATGTTTAACAGTCTTTAGCAGTTCTCTATCTTTGTTAACGCTCCTTAGTACTTCTTCATTAGTTTTCCTTGTTGTCCAATGTATCTTCAGGATTCGTCTATAAACCCACATTTTTAATGCTTCAACTTTGTTCATGATCAATACTTTTAGCGTCCACACTTCTGCACTATACAAAAATAAGGACCAAACATAGCACTTAACCATTATTTGCCTTAATTCTAAACTGAGATGGTTATTTCAAAGAAATGACTTCATTTTTATAAAAGTAGTTTTAGTCGTTGCTATTCTACGTTGTATTTCTATATTTGGATCTAGTTGGTCCGTTAACACAGTTTCCAAATATGCCATTTTGTGAACTTTCTCAACTTATACTCCGTTTAATTGAAGCTTTGCATCGGGATGTAGGTCACGACTAAACACTAAAAATTTGGTTTTAAATGGTTGAGTATTTATTTGGAGTAATATTATTTTATCCGAGACTAGTACGAAATTAGTCAATTACCTTATTACCTTATTATATTACCTTAGGGGTAATACAATGAACCCATCTTAGGAGGTCTAGGTGTCTGAAGCCATATAAATGGGTCCTGAACCGATATACCATAACCATGGGACAAGGTGCAAATGTAAATTTGCACCTTGTACTGAAAGTGTTCTTTTGACAATAATAACATTACAACGAATGTGACTCTACATAAAAGCAGATAATGCGTTAAATACACTGTAGTTGAATAGCAAGGCATACGCAGACACATACACACATAGCAGATAGGATACGTGACGATCATTACGAATGGGATTATATCAGTATATTTTATTGAGGTTTGTAAGCCATTTGCGGATTGGTTTGTGTTTGTGGAAGTCTATGTTACAAATATTTTAGATATTTATCATGACTTTAAGAGAATTAAAGAACATAATAAAGGTAAAATAATAAAAAAAAAGGAAACTACAAGTTCGGGGTCAAGTTTGAAAGTATATATTTTTCTGAAGGTACTTTCTTGTGGCATTTTAGTATTATTTTCTATTTTTAATAGACATTAACTACAATTTCAATTTAAAATACATATATTTTGACGTTTAGATTTTGTACAAGTGGAAAAATAAATGTCAATTGTTATACTTATTTAATAGTACATTGTTTACCGGGTAGGAAAAGCTTAACATTCCTGGACGACTGTGAAGATTGCTAAGTCGAGGCGCAAGCCGAGACTTAGCAACACAGAGTCCAGGAATGTGGCTTTTCCTACGAGGTAAACATACTATTTTTCCGCAAATCGTTTAAAATTTGACAGATATTAATTGATTTAAAAAAAACGCGATAATTTTATTCCCAAATAAATGGTGCTTTGAAATTCCTAATAAAATTACTTGGGTTACTATGGAAACGTATTGAGGTTGAATTGTCAAACTTGACGCTTATGCATGTAGAACACCAACAACTGTACGGAAATATCATTTCCTTACAGTAAGGAAATGACATTTCCTTACAGTAAGGAAGTCCTGACTTTTTCTTCAAGAAATTTTGACAGGAATGTCAAAATTTCCTGGCGATTTGCGGAAAAATACATTATTCAAATATCAACAATACTTTAGCACGATGACATCCATAAACTTCAAAATACTGCTTATATTAAACTGTCCCCTTCCTGTGTTTATATACGGTTTCTGACATTTCAGACATTACTATACACCTCGGGATTTTTCGATGACATCTTAAATTCTTGATTTCTTTAAAAATTGTTCTTTTTTATCAAATGATCCTTTCTCTATGAAACCAACGTAATGGAACTGTCGTAACACTACTCCCTTCTTGATAGTTATTTGCCTAGAATAACTGGTCTCTCAGGGGCCAATTGAAACCAGCAGTGTGGATCAGTTTCATGGTTTACTTCTAACTGAAAACTTGATGCGGTGGATTAGATCATTTATTTTCTACGGGATGGTTCCCAGTTTCGTTTAAAGTTTCGAACAAAGTCCTTTCTTACGTGTGAGATTATTTAACCATACTGGGCCACCTCTTTTGATAGTTGTACCAGTAGAACATATGTCGAGCGTAGCCTTGGCTTTATCACTTTGAAGATTCAAAATTGTACAAACAAGTTCGTAGACTTTTTTCATTTTTTTTTTTTAATTTTCGATCTTTATTAGGAATGAAATTTCTTATTAGCAGGAATGCAATCTTCTAAAAATATTATCTTAAGGAAGCTTAATTTTTTTTCCGGTGATCATCATTGATAAACAAAAACCAGTAACTCCATGTTCGGAACTTCTATACTTTCTAATAAAAGTATCCGTTTTTTAGAAAACATTGAAAGGTATTGACAAAGAGTTCCATTATATATTTCGACCATTAAGTCTGATTGAGTATAAAGAGGCATGATGCAGGTTTTCTTAGTACCCAAGATTTTTATTAATTAGATAATTAATTAAACCTTGCCATAATTCCGATTCAAAATTTCGTCCTTGATTAGAATGTAACTTTAAAGGAATACCATGTCCTAATACGACATATGTTATGAATGTGTATGCTATTGTAGTCGTTTCTTAATTAGGAAGTGGTGCTATTTTAGGTCAATTTAAAACACAATCAATTGCGACCAATAAGTACTTGTTTCCTCTGTCCCTCATCGAAAGTGGACTAAGAATATCTACTCCATGTCGTTTAAAAGGCTCTCTGGAAAAATATTGTGCGATATTACTACTTCTTTTTTAGAGCCTTTTCTACCATTACTTAAATCGCATTTCTTACACCAATTTCCCACATTTCAGCACCAATTGTTATAGTACAATCTATCTCGAACTCTGACCAGTGTTTATTTGACACCAAAATGTCCTCCAGAAAGGCTTTTATTAAGTTCTTGCTACACAATATTAATGTATTATTTTGACAGTACCACTTGTTGAACTGTTTGTAATCCTTAGGACTTTCACTTTCTTCTTAGTGTGTCTGTCCATTCCGAAAGTTCGCGATCATTCTGGCTATAATGATTTTGTTAATTGCTATACGAAATAGCTGTGTTAAAGTATTTCTATACCATGCCAGAATATTCTTTTTTGCCGTGTTAGCAAGCCAGAATATTCTTCTTCGGCCTGGGGCCCTTTTTCCTACAATTTTACATTGCAAAATGCATTGAAGTAGCTCCTATCTGCCTCAATTTCTCATTATATGTCCCAAGTACTGCAGCTTACGTTCCTTTACGATGTTGATCAAATCCGCGATTGTGTTTATCCTCCGCAGTACTTCTTCATGGGTGACTATGTCTATACATGGTATCTTCAGGAGTCTTCTATATAACCATAGCTAAAAAGCCTGCACTCCGACAAATATCAGGGAGAAGTCTATTGGATAGGGAGAAAAGCGAAACATAAGAAGAGCATGCAATATAGAAGACATAAATAGATGGGTGACAAAACGAAAACAGGAGTGGAACGAACACATCAGTAGAATGGCAGAGGATAAAATAGTACGAGTAGCACGAGATAAGTTACCAAATGGACGAAGAAGTATTGGCAGACAAAAGATGGTGCGACAATTTAAACAATTTGGGAAGCTAATATTGTAGAAGAAACAGGCTTTAATGCCTACATACTAGAAGGAAGAAGAAGAAGAAGAAGATTTTTTATTACATACTTATGAGCATGTTTCAAAATTGGAACAAAAAAATGTTCCACAAGAATGGGTTAAATTTTAAAACGTTTGTTATTGTATATTTTATTTTCTAAATAGGTTCTGATATCGTTCCGCTGTTCTTCAATTTTATAACTTGAAATTTTAATTAATTTGGTATAAACTATTTCTGATTTCTACCTCTACCTCTCTGCGCCTCTCCATTTTCTCTTCCTCTTCCTGCCTACGCTTTTACATCACCTCTCTCTCTTCTTGTCTGCGATTCTCCTTCACCTTCCTACGCTTTTTCCTTTTCTCTTCGATTTTTAAAAACCGTGCGGGGATTCAGACATATCTATTTCTTTAGCAAATTCCCTAGATTATTGTTTACCATAATTTATTACAATGGCAACAATCAAAATGGTACTGTTCTTAAACTGTCAACTTTCTCTGTATATATACATTTTCTGACATTCTAGACATTACTAAACAATTCTAAATGTCTTTAATAAATCTTCTTTTTCGTCAACTGACCCTTTTTATATAAACAAAATCTCACGAAACTGTCATAACAGTATTTTAAACTGAAATTCAAGTTAATTAAAAGAAATAGTACTTAAAAGATATGTTAGACCAGAAACTAACATACTTAATTATTATAGAAGGCAAAAAAGGTTTAGTTTCAAATATGAAAGACAAACATATTTTATATCGTGTTCTAATAAACTAATAAAATTATATTATTAAAGATCTCCACTTACCTTCTTTTTCTGTCATTCCTGCTGTTTTTAATATCTCTAGACTAGGATTGAGACCACAACAATAGATAAATTTTCCTAAATTTGAGGCATCTAATTTACCGTCTCCATCTCCATACGTTTCAAGAGCAAATTCTCCAGCTAAAAATGTTAAAATATATTTAAAAGAGTGGTTTTGCTTACTTGATTTATATATTGCAAAAACTTATTAAAATGCACACAAAATAAATAGCAAATTATATAGATTATATTATTATCGCCAATAGAAAATATTAATATTGCCATATAACTGTTGTTTTATTGATGAGAGTAAACTTAAAGACCAATAATAAAGACTATTTTGAATACAAAAAGGCTTCCAAGATGTACAAGGTAATTGGCGGCAATTGCAGATAATAGTGCTAAGACCGTTAAAAGAGCTTCTGGCTTTTTCAATATTTTATTCTGTATCTATGATCCCAGGTATCCTTCTTCATATTTCAGCCCAGGTAGCATATTTTTTTCACTTTTTCTAACGGTGTATCGTTAATTATTGTAATTTGGACATATATTTTGGTGTTCTTACTAATGATCAATATTTTTGTCTTCTTACATGTAGTTTTAGGCCGTATTTGTAACATGTTTCTACAAGATTATCCATTATTTTTTGTAGCCTCTGTGCGCTATCTAACAGCAATACGGTGTCGGAAATAAGCTAGTAATTTAATTAAACCGAGCCTTTGAGACTTGTTTACCCCTTGGAATTACGTTCGGGTGTAACAATTCAATGGGGCTAGGTGTATTAATATGAATGTAAACCTGCCTGACCATTTAAGCTCTTTATATGGAAGTCCTGCGTAATAGAACTCCAACATGATTCCCTAATGCGGATGTAATGGGATACTGAAGCGCAACATATAGTTAGTCCTATTCAAATGTTAACCTCACCTGCTCTTATGATGATCTGGATCATGGTCTTCTGGTACATCCTACTAGATAATTAACGAGGCTTAGACGTCCGAGTGTTTGCCGGGATAAGCAATCAATCATTGACTGGTCAACGGCTTAAGGTAGATGAGCTAGTAAGTCGAAGGACAGTTTGTTGTCCTAAGGACACTTTGTTGTCCTGAGACTGAGAAATTGGTCTTGAAACGGAAGAACCAAGAAAGTAGTCAACAGCATCAGAATGCAGAAGGCAACGAGAAACCACTGCATTAAAGGTTTCTGATGACATCCCTAGTCTAAATTATAATGGCTCGTACTATTTGCGCAAGAGACATTATTGATTATGGTAATCGGATACCAAAATCCGGCAGGGAAGGACAAGGCCTCCTCGGTCGTCAACATGCGAAACACTTGCACAAAATACTAAAAAAATATACTCAACCCTCTCAGATAAAACTAGCTACCTGGAATGTAAAAAGTATGTATCAGCCTGGAAAACTACACAATGTCCATAACGAGAAAAAAATATGGTCAGGAAATGGAGAGATATTAATAAATAACCACAATATTTATTACACTGGAGGAGATAAAACTGATCATCGATACGGAGTAGCTTTCATCATAAACAGCACTATTAGAAAATCAGTGCTAGGTGTGATTCAAATCTCAGAAAGAATAATAATGCTTAAAATTCAAGCACGGAACTGTAATATTAATATGATCCAAGTCTATGCTCCCACAGCTGAGAAGACCGAAGACGAAATTGAAAAGTTTTATTCAGATTTGCACAATACAATCAAGTTAACAAAATCTAGAGATATTACTTACATTTTAGGAGACTTTAATGCAAAAATTGAAGTAGGTACAATTAAAAATATAGTTGGACAGTTCGCACTGGGAACTAGAAACGAGAGAGGAAAAAGTCTCATATAATTCTGCCAAGAAAAGAATATGGTAATTTCCAATACTTGGTTTTAGCTTCCTAAGAGAAGATTATATACATGGACGTCTCCTTCAGATACAAAAAACCAAATTGTCAGAAACCAGGTAGACTTTATACTCGTCTTTTTCTTCTTCTTTCTTCTAGTATAGGCTTTAAAGCATGTTTCTGCATCGATATTAGCCTCATAAATTGCCGCACCTTTTTCTTGGTCTTCCAATACTTCTTCGTGCATTTGGTGACTTATCTCGTGCTATTCGTACTATTCTATCCTCTGCCATTCTACTGATATGTTCGTTCCACTCCTGTTTTCGTTTTGTCACCCATCCATTTATGTCATCTATATTGCATGCTCTTCTTATGTTTTCGCTTCTCTAGCTATCCAATAGACTTTTTCCTGATATTCGTCAGAGTATTTTCATTTCTGTTGTTTCTAGCAGTCGTCTCGTTTTAGACGTGTCAGGTCTTGTCTCCGCCGTGTATGTTAATATAGGTCTAATTGCTGCTTTATAGATTCTTGTTTTTGTGTCTTGTCTTAGGTGTTTGTTCTTCCAGATTGTGTCATTAAGAGATCCCGCCGCTTTACTTGCTTTTAAACTTTGTTGTCGTACTTCTTCAACATCTCCGTAACTAGTTATATCTATTCCCAAATATCTAAACCTTGCCTCCTGCTTTATTATTTTCCCATTAATTTCGATTTTGCCTTTGCGTGCTGCTTGTATTATTTTATACTCGTAAATAGCAGATATAAAAACTCTATAAACTCAGTTAAAACTTATCCTGGAGCAGATGTTAACTCAGACCACAATCCCTTAGTGTTTGACGTGAAAATAAAATTAAAAAGAATTGAATTCAGAAACCAACAACCAAAAAGTAATGTAAGAATGCTACAAAACAAAGAAATAAAAACGAATTAAAAAATAATGTGAATGATAATATGCAAAAAACACTAACTGACAACAAACAAATTATGGATGTAAATAAAAGTGGTATATTATAAAAAAAACACATTACTGAAACCAGCTCAAGAACGTTTGATGACAACATAGGTCAGAGTCCAAAAAACAGTGAATGACAGAAGAAATACTACTACAGATGGAAGAAAGAAGGAAATATAAAGGAAAAGATCTACAGAACTATAAGGAAATACAACAAATAATTACGAAACAAATTAAAACAGCTATAGAAATATATTTAATGAAACAATGTAAAGAGATAGAAGAACTTGAAACAAAATATGATATGAGAAATATGAACAAAAAATAAGAGAAGTGACTGGAATGGGTAGAGGTAGACAGCAAGGACACATAAAAGATAAAAAAGGAGTACTGCTAATCGATTTATCAGAGAAATTAAGACGATGGGAGAAGTACGTTAGAAAACTTTTCCAAGATGAAAGAGATGAAATGCAGAAAATACAACAATTAAATCCTTTATAGAGGCAGAAGGTCACGATAGATGAAATCAAATATGCTATCAAAAACCCCAAAGACAATAAGGTAGCTGGATTAGATAAAATATCAGTAGAATTGTGGAATTGTGAAACTAGTGGAAGTGGCAGATTTATTTAACACGATGTACGATACGGGAATAATACCACTAGTGTGACTGAAGTCAGCATTTATAACCATCCCTAAAAACAAGCAGCCACAGAGTGCTCTGATTATCGAACACTGAGCCTCATGAGTCATACTTTAAAAGTACTGCTGAAAGTAATTAATACATAACAGAATATACAAAAGGCTAGAGGAGGATATTAGCGAGACGCAGTTCGGGTTCCGAAATGGAATGGGTATTTGAGAAGGACTATTTGCCATCAACATATTGATTCAGCGATGTCGGAATGTCAACGTTGATCTACACTTGTGCTTTGTTGTATAAATTATAAATTATAAATATAGTGCAAACATTATATTGGAACCAAAGTGCTATAGTTCAAATTTATGGGCAACAGTCAGAAGAAATGAAGATCTGTAGGGGAGTTAGACAGGGATGTGTTTTATCGCCACTTTTGTTTAACTTAGATTCTGAAGAAATTTTCCAAAACACGCTCAATAATATCGAAGCGGGAGTCACCGTTATCGGAAAATTAATTAACAACTTAGGATATGCAGACGACACTGTGATCATAGCAACGAGTGTAGAGGATCTACAACATCTTATCGAAAGCTTGAGTATGAATAGTGCTGAGATGGGAATTACTATAAACGCTAAAAAAACGAAGTACATTCTTATTACAAAAAGACCACAAAATATACATCACCTATTGACAATCAATGGTAACGTGATAGAACAAGTAGAAAAATATCAGTACTTGGGAACTTTGATTATTGAAACCAATGATCATACTTTAGAAATAAACTGGCGAATAGAGATTGCCAGATTAACATTTATACGAATTAAGCCACTCTTAACGTGCAAAAATCTAAATTTGGAGATCAGACTACGTACTATTCGCTGTTATATATTTTCAATATTATTATATGGAGCTGAGACTTGGACATTAAAATAATGCAATTTAAAAAGAATCAAGGCTTTCAAACTCTGGTTATACTGCAGAGTATTAAAAATATTATAAACTGATAGAATTACAAATAAAGAAATACTGGAGAGGGCTGATAAGGAAACAGAACTAATAACCACTATACAAACCGGAAAACTGGAGTACGTAGGCCACGTGATAAGGGGACCAAAATATGAAATTGTGAGACTCATAATACAGGAAAAGATTCTAGGAAAAAGATCTGTTGGCCGAAGACAGAACTCATGGTTAAAGAATATACGTGATTGGTATCAATGCAGATCGATTGATTTGTTTCGAGTACCAAGTTCTAAAATAAAAATAGCCATTATTATTGCCATTCTCCCTAGGAAGACGGTACTCTAAGAAGAAGATGGTTCCCTAACTGATTCAAATTCAGGCTAGCGTTAAGCGCTAAATTTCTTTTATCCTCTATTTTTTTTTGTGGCTTAAGTCGTTTTTGTTTTTTGTAATTTTTTTGGTAGGATGTCCTAAAAATAAAATCTTATTTAATGGGGCCTACACAGTTTTATTGCGCTTGTCTATGTTGATAAAGCTAAGAACTATTCTCTTTTATTTACTTCCCTTCTCCCTAGAGTTCGTTTTTATGTTTTCTAGAGTTCATTTTACTATCTCTATGGGTATATATTTGTTTTATTTTCTCTCTGGAAATACGGTACCGTCTGCATATCTAATACTATTTATACGTTGGCCATTTACTGTAATACCATTTAAGTACTTCATATTTTCTAGCATTGGCTTTTTCTAGAAGTAGAATAAATACTGGTATCGTAAACGCCATATAGGAAGTTCCAACCTCGCATATGTGCATGTGCCGACTGTATCCAAAGAGGTGGACACAGACGTAATCGTGCTGCTGCTGTACTAACAATATTGAAAAATATGTAAAAACAAGGCGCTCGGATTAAATCGGTACGAAAATAAGGATTTGCGCTGGATCTTCGTAACTTGTGCCTACTGTAGTAGCCAGTCTTTTGGTAAGTGAACAGTCTAATATTTATGTTGTTGAATAACTTAGTAAGAGCTGTGATTTGGATGCCTCTAATAGCTTTAAAATTTCACTATGTACTGCATCAGGTCTTGGTCATTTCCCATCTATAATTTGCTTCTTTATATCCTTCAGCCTTCATTTATCTATTGTTGGACATAGGCCTCCTCCAATTGCTTCCACGCTTCCCTATCTTTTGCAATTCTCATCTACTGCTTTTCATTTTCTTGTTTCTCGAGGTCTCCAGAATGTCACTTTATGAGACTATCTGTCTTGTCTTTTTACATGTGCTACCCATTGCCTCCTCATTGTCGCTATTTTTCCCATGATGTCGGTTACTTTAGTTCTTCGTAATTGGGTGTTAGAAATTTTAGAAGTTTTTTTTTTGCATTAACATAATTTGCTTAATACGTATAATTATTTTCTTCGTTTGTTATTTCTGGGCCGTTGGAATTGTCGTTACAGTCGGTCTTCTTGCTGTATTTTCGCATAATCTTTGCACGTATTCTTTTCTTTCTAGTTTCAAAATCTGGACTTCGTCATTTACAAGCATACTAGTATTGAGATATTTTCTGGTATTCGGCACCTCTTTAATATTTTTGAGAGTATGACAGTCGTAATGGATGCGTTATAGTGTTTTAATTTTCATACATTTCTTCATCAGCCATGCGTCTTTTGCTTTGTTTTATTTCCTGTAGTAAATCCGTATGCAACTTATTATATTCATTGCCTTTTCATCTACCTTTTAATTTCCTTCGTTTTTCCATCATCTGCAATATTTTATCTGCCATCCATTCTTTTTTGTTTCAAGATTTTCATGCAAAAGTATGATAATAGATATTTTCAGTTCTTTGCACTGCTCTTCTATGTCGCTAGTAGTGTTTTCAACTATTTTTATAAAATTCTTATTTAGCACTGTTTTTATTTTTTCCTGGTTGTTTTTTTATATATCCATTTTGAGCCTTATTTTCTTATGCTTTATTTTGAGTAGACTGTTGGTATTTGTAACTAATAGATTATAATACGACAAGGTACTTGCGCCGGAATATATATATATATATATATATATATATATATATATATATATATATATATATATATATATATATATTTGCTAAAGTGATAGAAGCTCGACCTACTTTGACGTTAAAATCGTCCGTGATAATAGTTAGCAGTTTTTTCAGTTTTAGAGAATGTTCTAAAATCTGATAAAAAATGTTTATTTCTTCTTTAGCATATTCAATAGCGCAGTTTAGCAATAACGCAGCTCTGTCTGATATAGATGTACATCCTATTACTGTTTTAACATTTTTCCTTTTTTGCTATTATCGGTATGCCATTTTTGTTTCGTATTATGTCATACCCTAATATAAGATATGATGTTTAACTATAATTGTTACTCCAGAATTTGACTACTGAATTTCACTGCATCCGAAAATACCTATATTCAGATGTGTTATTTCTTGAATAACATTTTCTACCTTGCGAGTTTGGTAAATGCTTCAAATGTCCCACGTACCGATCCTTTTCACTTTTGTGACATTATTGGCTGACCTGGAGATTCCTAGCATCCTCTTCCTACTTAAGGTATGCCCGTAACGCAACTGAGGAGCAGTTCTTTTGGATTTTCCGCCATTGTGGTATCCTGTAGATATCCCTTTAGATATTTAATATGATAGTCATCCCATCGCTTTCTACATCTCAATGCAGTTGAGTAATCTAACTCTTCCGTCTTCAGAGAAAACTTATCTGCTTCAAAATAATAAAGTGCCGTACCTCATGCTGATTTACATGGTTCTTTTACCCGTAGCTGTTGACAAATAAGTTAGGTATAACTTATACCAGTAATCGTTCGGTTAACGATTCTCTACTACTCTCTCTCTCTCTCTCTATTCCATAAAAAAAGTATTCTTTTTTAGGGGATTCCTTTCTCAAAGTCGAGGCCAGACTCCTTTATCAATATTTGTTTTATAACAAGGACGGTAAAAAACCTTCTTTTATAGCCTAAATCTGAAGAACCCACCTATTTTTAAGTTTGTAGAAAAAATGGTATTTGCAAAAACATTTACTCAAACTTAAATTTTTTAGCCTGTTTGTTTTTCTCCACTCTTCTCTGTTTTGTGCTGATTGGCGCCAGTTTCTCTCCACATATGGTTTGAAGTCCTCTAGCCACCGTTTTTGTGGTCTTCCTTTACTGCGACTGTGCTCGCGTGGTCTGCAATGTACAATGTTTTTGGTCCATCTTTCGTTTTTTTGTCGTGCTACGTGCACTGTTTAACAAACGAACGGTAATTACGTATTAAGACAAAAGTTTTCGTTTATAGCTTTTTCTGTAGTGTTAAATCCAAATACATCCTCGCTGGATCCTCCAACAATAATCAGCCATCGTATTATGTATATCCGATCTACCTTAATGCCATGTCTCCATGATCTTCAGATTTTGGTGGAATCACTTACCCTACTTATCACAAACTATACTAATATTTTCCGGGAATCGTTAAGGTGGCTAAGTAAAAAATTGCAGTTTGATGCTCATTTTCCAACTTGGCAGTTTAACGCTCTTCAAAAGTTACTGAAAAACTTAAGCGTAATTCTGAATTAGCAATACTTTTGAAAGCTAACCTACCAGAATCAGTCTCCTCATTACTAACTTCCAAGAATTTTTAATTTTGGATATGGTGCCAAAAGACTTGTTGGTCGATGGGAGCTGTGAATTATTTCAATCTTAATATTGCCTTATCTAACTGAACTCATGTTGTTAAATTACTCATTTAATAGTTAAACTACACTACCGAGCATACAATTAGGGTCACCCCGTAATTTGAATTTATTTTAGAAATTATTATTCTGTTTTAACTATTTTCGGTTGTAACATAGTTTACTAATGGATTTCTTGAAAAAAAAATTGTTGTCGTTGTTGTTTCGACAAGCGTTTGAGATAAAAAGGGCCCCTTAGCCTAATTCCTAAAAACCGTTATCAGCACAGTTTTTGTTTCTATGGTTTTAACGTCAATTGTAAATTGTTTGTGTTTTGTTATCACTGTCAGTGTATTCCATAAATTCTGTTGTGGCGGCAAGAATTATGGCGGCGTTAGAAGACGGCAACGGTCAGTGCGAAACTGCGAGAAACGTTGGTGAAGTCTCTCGAGTGTGCAACGAGTATGGCAACGGTACGAAGAGACCAGTCTGCTTACTCGAAGACCTGGTTTAGGTCAAGGCAGGATTACAACAGCTAGAGATGACCGCTTTGTCGTTTCTAGTGCTTTGAGAAACCGAACGGTCACGGCAGTTTCTCTTCGAAATCATCTGCAAGAAGTGAGAAATGTAAACATAAGTGAATGGACAGTTAGGAGACGACTTCATGCTGCTGGTTTATCTTTTCGAACTAGAGTAACTGGACCGCCGCTTTCCCGTGAACACTGAATTGCCAGATTGCATTTTGCACGAAAACACTTGGCTTGGACAATGCAGGATTGGAGTCGTGTATTGTTTTCTGATAAATCGAGATTTTGTCTTATGCGCTCAGAAAAACGTGTAAGAGTGTGGCGACGTCCCGGTGAGAGATATGCTCAAGCATGTGTTGCCGAGCGTCTTCCATTTGGTGGAGGGTCAGTTATGACATGGGGAGGCATATCGTTCGATGCTTGCACGGAGTTAGTCTTTATCGAGAATGGGACATTGACATCGACCTGACACAGTTTCTGGAAGATCATGTTTTACCGTTTATGGTTATTCTTGGAGACGACGCAACATTTATGCATGATAGTGCACGGCCCCACACTGTTAGCATAGTTACTGAGTATCTTGACGAGGTTCAAATCATACGATTTGTTTGGCCTGCTCGCAGTCCAGATATCAATCCTATAGAACATGTTTGGAATGAGATAAAGAGACGTTTACGGAGTCATGTGCCGGCCCCCAGAAATTCGAGAAAGCTTCGCGACATATTGGTGCAAGAATGGAATAATCTTCCGCAGAATGTGATCCAAAATCTGATTCAAAGCATGCCTCGTCGTTTGCCAGCTGTGATCACTGCCAGAGCAGGGAATACTCGCTACTGAAGTACTGAAGTTTCTACAAAAAGCACATCAAATTAAAATTGTCCCTTTTTAATATTTAGTATAGCAAAGGAAAATTCTTCATTTCCATTATTTTTCTTCTTCTTAGAGTGCCGTCTCCCTACGGAGGTTGGCAATCATAATGGCTATTGTTATTTTAGAACTTGCTGCTCTAAACAAATCAATCGATCTGCATTGGTACCAGTCACGTAGATTCTTTAACCATGAGTTCTGCCTTCGGCCAACAGATCTTCTTCCTTAAATCTTTCCCTGTATTATCAGTCTCATCATATTATTTTTAATAAACTTTAAATGACAAAAACGTTGTTTTCTTTAAGCAATCCGTTAGTAAACTATGTTACAACCGAAAATAGTTAAAACAGAATGATAATTTCTAAAATAAATTCAAATTACGTGGTGACCCTAATTTTATGTATAATAGGTCGTGTATAATAAAATAAAAACATTATTTTAACAAATTGTCCAATTTTTTAAATAAATTAAAATTCAGTTTGTTTAAATTTTAATACAAAATACTTACTTTCTATCTCTGAATCTTTGAGTTTGTCTGCCTGTAACCAAAAATAATTATTATTTTTATACATTTTACAAATAAAAAAAAGAATAATTAATCATTTACATAAACACATGTCAAAAAAAAAACAAATATGTGCAGTTTATTTTTTGTTTGTCTTGTTGTGTCACTCTTATCGGAGATTGGAAATTATCAAGGCTATCTTGATCTTATTTAAAGCTGATCTAAAAAGCTCATTGTTGGTGCATCAGTAACATTCTCGCAAATTTCGCAACCAAGACAGTACTTTACGTCCTGGATTCCTTTTGTGTACTATTTTACCTTATCATAATTAATAATAACTAGGTAGCACCACATCTCGAAGCTTTCAATATGTTTTATGATGTTCTTTTAAGATATTGGGTCTCTATTCTAAGAATGTTAAATATATAGCCCATCAAAATTTATATTCGTAGAGGTATTGTTATACTTGCACCCACAGTTTTTCATTTCTATAAATTGTTCTTTCATCTAAGATTCTTTGACTTTTTAATTTTTTATTTTATGTTTTTATTGATGTTTTAATATGTTTCTGTATGATTCTTCATTCATCATTCATTCGCCTTTTCATTCATTACTCCTAATATTTCTGGTGTCATTCACACCCTGTTGCCGCTCCACTAAGATTATCATGTATTTCTTCTTATACTGTATGTCGTAAGTGTTTATTTTTAACTAGGTATAAATTGAAACTATCACTAGGAAGCGACCACAGACCAGTAAGAGCTAGAGTAACGATAAATCTACAAAAAGAAAGAGCAAAGATGATAAACAGTTGCAAACGCATAGTTTGGAATTCACCAGATCATCCAGAAGCATACATAAAAAATATAGCCGAAACTTTACAGAGTAATAATCCCAAACCTCTAAGTATCGACGATCACAATAAATTAATATCAGACTCGGTTAGAAATGCAAAACTCAAATTTTGCAAAAAAAATGACACCAATTGTAAAAAAATTAGCAAAAATACAAAAGCACTCATGGAAATACGACGAAACCTAAGCGAGAACGAAAAGGGAAACAAAGAAGAATATAAAAAACTAAATAAAAGAATTTCAGCGGAAATTAGGTAAAAAGATATAATACTAATGTAATTACTCAAACAGTAGAAGACAACAAAGGTAAAGATAATGAAAAGAAAACTCACACAAAGTAAAAAAGAAATATACAAGCTGAGAGATAAAGACGGAAAGGCAACAACAGATAAACAAAACATTCTGAAAATAACCAGAGAGTTTTATAAAGACCTCTATACCAGCCAAAGACCACAAGACAATTTCTCGACACGAGTAAAAACTCTGATAAATCAGGGATCGGAAATACTTTTACCCATTACTGTGTCAGAAGTAAGAGCAGCTTTAAAGGAAATGAAGAACCATCGATCGCCTGGTGATGATGGACTCGTTATCGAGGCAATAAAAGCAGGAGGAGAAATTTTATTAAAATCAGTAAGCGAACTGTTTAATAAATGCTTACATGCGCGTACGATTCCAAAAGACTGGAACAATGCAGTAATAGTCTTGTTACACAAAAAAGGCGATATTACTAAATTAGAAAATTATACAACCATCAGCCTCTTGAAACATATGTACAAACTCTTTATAAAAATCGTAACAAAGAGGCTAGCACCTAAACTTGATTTCTATCAGCCCAAAGAACAGGCAGGCTTCAGGGCAGGATATGGCACAAATGACCATTTGCATACCATAAAGATCCTAATAGAAAAGTGCATCGAGTACAACATACCACTGGTTCTTGCATTTGTCGATTACAAGAAGGCTTTTGATTCTGTAGAGTTTGAAACAATACTGGAAGCTCTAAATCAAAGCCGAATAGATTACAGGTACATGACACTAATCAAAAACATCTACGAGAACGCTACATCAAGTATACGACTACACGAAGTCACAGAAAAATTCAGCTTAGGTCGAGGAGTTAGACAAGGAGACAATATTTCACCAAAATTGTTCACTGCAGCTCTAGAGTCAATATTTAAGAGCACTCAATGGCAAGATATGGGCATCAATATAGATGGAGGAAGATTAAACCACCTAAGATTTGCAGATGATGTATTAATCGCCGATAATTTACATAGATACAGTTTCTATGATGCATTTGCTTAAAAGTCTGTCTGAAAGAGCAGGATTAAAGATAAACTTTGAGAAAACTAAACTTATAACAAATCTCGTAATGAGTGGAAATATAACTATTGACAATAATAACATACAACAAACAGACACTTACAAATATCTGGGACACGAAATCAAAATAAGCAGAGACAATAAAACACATGAAATACAGAGGCGAATAGGCCTAACTTGGGCAACCTTTGGCAAATTAAGCCATATTCTAAAAAGTTCAATTTCCATGTCTCAAGCGAAAGGTTTATGACCAATGTGTTTTACCTGTACAAACTTATGGAGCGGAGACTTTAACACTCACGCAAAAATCTGCGAATAAACTCAGAGTTACGCAACGAGCTATGGAACGTGCAATGCTGAACGTGAGCCTTCGAGACCACTTAACAAACCAACAAATCAGGCAAAGATCAGGAGTTCAAGACGTCATCGAAAGAACCACGTCGCTTAAGTGGAACTGGGCAGGGCACTTAGCCAGAGCACAAGATGGACGGTGGACAAGACGTATTATGGAATGGAGGAACAGAAACTATAAAAGAAGCTGAGGACGACCACCGACTAGATGGACCGATGATATAAAACGTGTAGCGGAAAACTGGCTACAAGCGGCCCAGTGTAGAGAACACTGGAAAAAACTGAGAGAGGCCTATGTCCAGCAGTGGACGCGATTGGCTGATTGATGAAGATGATGATATATATATATATATATAGCAAAATAGAAAAAAAAACAAATTAAGCGTATTGATGGAAGGCAACCGTAAATACGTATTTCTGACTATTTGGTACGAAAAATCGACTCAAAATAATATGTGAAAAATCATATATTAAGTAAACAGATATATTAACTTAAAATTAAGAATAAAAGTATAAAATGTTATTTCAATATCAATAGTTTAAAATCAATGGAAATACACAATGTATGTAATGAAAATGGTCCCAGAAACGGTACGAAAAAGGAATGCTAGAAATAGAAACAATCAGCATAAATAAGAAAGGAAAACTTCTAAATATCTGGAGGGTCTACTTAAAATAAATAGATATAGTGAAAAACATGAAACAAATACAAAAAAATTAAAACTTACAGAAAATATCAAGCCAATTATTACAAAAATGACAAATTTAGCAAACGCTTAGCCAAAAAAAGATTAAAAAGGAATATAAAAATCAATGTCATAAACTAATTTAACAGAAAAGTCATCTTCATTGAAACTATAAAACATAAAAATAGATACATCTATAGAAGTTTCAACAGTATTAGAAAGACAATGACTCTATAAGGAATCTAAATGACAACGAAATAGGTTTTAAAAAATAATGCTAGAAACAGAAATCGAAATAGAAATCGAAAGAGCTGCAGGAAGAAAACAAACAAAATAACTTAAAACATATAGAACAGCTTTTAGGTGACTTATTCCCATATCTTAAAAGGAATTCCAGGAAAATATGCGGGAGAAAGTATTAAAAGTTTTAAAAGAAATTAACCTTCAGAACAAAATTCCACGCAACAAAGTTGTTTCGTATGCAAGTTAAAATGTGGGAACGATAGGAAAAAGTTTCTAATTTGATTTTAAGATCAACCCAATTGTTTAGTTAATCGCCAGTTATCCTAAAATAAAAGTCTAGATGCAGATCAAGAGATAAAAATGTAACCATTAAGCAAGATAAATATTAGAGTGTATAATAATTTGGTGTTTGGTGAAACTGTTTGGATAACTTATTTAAGGAGAGTTACTTGATTTCAAATTTAACAAATCGGAAAGATGAGAGTTTGTAATTTGATCCTAAGGTATTTCAATCCTAAGGTATAAAATTTTTTTCAAATTGATAAGTTTTAAAAGTTGGGGCCTTAAACAAGAATTTACGAAGAAATGTAAAAAATTAAAGTAAATAGATACGTGTCCTACTTTGGATTTAAAGCATTGTTATATAATAATTTATTTATGGTGCATAGATTATTATATAAAACCATAAAACATGTTACTGATTCTTGTTCTCCAAATCATTGATAATTTATTTTATATAATGTATAATAGTTTTTGGAAAAACATTAATACGTTAGTGAAGAAAAATATGGATTTTTTTTTTACTATGAGGTAGTTAAATTTTAAAACGAAAATACAATTTTTTTATTTTTTTTTTCCTTTAAATATGGTCCTACAAAATTTTTAAATATTTTTTTAATTTGAAATTTATGCCAAAAAGGCGTTAAAGGTCCACAAATGAATAACGTATATCTCTATTTTTTGCTTTTTTATTTTTAACAGCTGTTCCAGTGTGCATATGTGGTCTATGCATAATTTTCCTGCCATGAAACCTGCCTGATCCTCCCTGATTTTGCCTGTTATCGCTTGCTCTATTTTTTCTCGCAGTATCTTCCCATATAATCTTCATACTGTTGATATTACGCTTACTCCTCTGTAGTTTTCGGATCGTTTTCTATCTCCTTGCTTTAATATATATGTCATATATGCCTCCGTCCATTCCTTTGGGAGCTGTTCTCCATTTATGACTGAAATATCCATTGTATCAATATATATAACTCCGTTATATATATATTTTTGTGGGGATCTGCTTCGTCTTCGCCTGTTTTCTTTTCCTATGAATTGTGTTCTTTGCTATGTTAACAGTTCCTTGTAATAGTCCTTCCTTTTTTTGTCCTGTATATTTCCCAATTTAATTTTTTCTTTTAAGTTTTGTTTAAATCCTCTCAGTACTTTCCATGACTCCGAAGTTCTTGTACCTCCTATGTATGTTTCAATGTTTAACCAAATTCTTTCCCATTCTTTATTTTTTTGTTGTGTTATTTGTTGTTTCACTTCTCTATCTTTTTCTTTATATTCTTTATAAACTTCATCGTTGTTTGTAGTCATATTTTCTGTATAGTTGCTTT